TTTTATTATTGTTGCAAAATGCTTAATTATTTTATTTAATCAACAATGCCTTTTGAACCTTTATTATTCATAATTCATAATATTAGATATGCATATACTGTATATTATGACATGCTACCCTCAGTAGGTTACTAAGACTACATTCCAAAACTTCCTCTCTGAGGAAAATTTTACTCGAAATATATAGTACATGTAACGTATAGTATAGTATATAGAATAAAATCTTCCTCGGAGAGGAAGTTTTGGAACGTAGCCTAAAATTCTTAAAATATTCCTTCGGTAGACTTGAGATTTATGAAACAAGAAGGTCTTGGAAATTCGAAATCCTGTATGGAAGCTTCCTCCATCCTTAAAATAAGAAAGGATTAGGAATATAAGTATTAAGATATCATGAACCAAGAGGGCCGTATTACAACTAAAAGAGATGACACACCACACACACACATACACACACACACACACACACACACACACACAAATGTATACTTTATTAGAGAATACTTTATCGTATACAAAATATTTTATCGTATAAAAGTCTACATAAGCGTCTTCGAAAAAATTTTATTTAATTTTTTAGTAAAACTTAATGTTATTAATTCTTTGCCCTACTTTTCTCTTACAAATTAAAAAAATTAAGTTTTGTACGAACAATGTACCTTTCCCCGTGCTTTATGTTTGGCCCGATTTCCTTACCACGAGCATCACACGATATTACAAGCTAAAGGATTATATTTTATGGGAAAGAGATCCAGCTAACCTAACCTAATCTAACCTAACCTGCAATTTCAACTTACTGAAGGCAGCTATATTCCTGGTTGGAAATCGCATGCGCAGTAAAAATTGAAGCCATACAAAAAATTCAGTGTCCATACTATATGTACTTATACTGTGCCAAGTGCCAAAGATCGTGTTGTGTCGATGATAATGAACATTTGGAATACAACTTGTATTCCAAACCGCCGGGTGCATAAAAGTATCTAGAGATGTTGTAATTGGAAAGCACCCATAAGTACTCTACTCTAGTGAGGACGAATCTGTATCCCTTTTATCATGTTGGCACTCCTATGTTCAAAAAATGTGCATGTGAATTATGTAGGACATTTCCAACAATTTGAACTTGTAATAAGCCGCAATCCACGGTCTTCGATCTCTTCTTGTTTCGTGTTATATACATAGAGTTAAAGAGACAATTTTTTCGAAATGTTACTTGCTAATAGTTTATAGGACGAATCAGTCAGTTTCAGCATAAATTGCGGAGATCACTTATCAAAGAAGGAAGTAAAAGGAAAAGGATGTCACTGTAGAAATATCGAAAAGCCTGAACCTGAACCTGAACTGCGGTCATTTCACAAATTTTCTGAATTCAATTCGGATTCTATTTTGAACTCGTTGATCACAACCGTTATTTTTTGGTACATTTCGGTCCGGTAAGATTCGGATTTTCTTTAGTCAATCAGTATTTCAGATATAACCTAAAAATAATTTATTGATATTACCGATATATATGTGCGTATATATATATATATATAT